TTGGGACGCATGTTGGAGGCTTCTTGGGGCGTCTTGGGGGCGTCCTTGGACGTCTGGAGGCCATCTTCAGCATCTTGGAGCCCTCTTGGAGGCCTCTTGGAAGTTTCTTGGGCCGTCTTGGGCGCTTCTTGGGCCGTCTTGTCTGACTGGGGAGGCCTCCGGCAAGCCCCGACGAGCCTCCGGGCCCCCCGGGGCCCACATTTGTGGTCGGGGTCCCGGCCCCGGGCCCCCGGACCCGGTGCGCCGTTATATGTATACATAACTGCATACATACATACATAAATGCATACCTACCTACCTACCTACATGCCTACATATATACATACATACGTATATGCAGACATGCAGACATGCATGCGCATACACATGCATGCATGCATGCACACGTACATGCATGTTCCGATGTGTTCCCCAAACGGTGCTTGCACCTAGGGGGTTCTTGTGCTCTGCGGAGCTGGGCCTGGTTGTCGGTCTGGCCGGCACGTAGCCGCCCGTCGCCGCTTCCTCGCCGCCTCGTCGCCACCTCGTCGCCTGGGCTCGGTTGTCGGTCGGGCCGCCACGTCGCCGCCTCGTCGCCGCCTCGTCGCCACCTCGTCGCCTGGGCTTGGCCGTCGGTCTGGCCATCCCGTCGCCGCCTGTCGCCGCCTCATCGCCGCCTCGTCGCCGCGCGTCGCCGCCCGTCACCGCCGCCCCGTTGCAACCCCCCTGCCGTTGCATTGCAATCCTATTTCATTGATATCAATATGAATATATATACATATATATATATACATATACATATACATATACATATACATATACATATACATATACACTGCACAACGTTGACTGCATAACCTAGATTGCTGAACATAGACTTCGCATTACTTCACCACACGTATGTTGCACCACAGAACTTACACCACCTAGATTGCACCGCATCGATTGTACTACACGGCTTATATCCCGCTGATCAGACCACAGAGGTTGCACAACATAGAATGCACCAAATAAGATGCACCGCACAGCTTGCACCACATAGCTTGCACCATATAGATTACACCACGCAGATGGCACCACATAGCTTGCACCACACAGATTGCACCGCACAGCATGCCACACACTGCTTGGGTCCACACTGGCTAACATATATTGTTACAGGGCCAGAGGCCCCAGACGGACCTCCGCGGCCGCTGAGCGCGGTCCCGAAATCCTCCAACGCCGTGTCCGGCCCACGCGCGCGCCACCGGGCCCCATCGCAGGGGCCTGCCCCCCGTCCTGGAGGGGGGGGGGGGGGGGGGGGAAGATGCCATGAGCGAGGTGCCGTGGTCGCAATTGAAGCCTACCTTCCCCAGGGGCTTTAAACCAGGGAGGCTACGAGAAGTCGGGCCTGCCCCCCTACAGGGGGATTTTGGGCGAAAAACTAAAAATATTTTAAAAAATACCCCAAAATGGTCAAAAAATACTCCGAAAATAATCCCCGACTATTTTTGGATTATTTTTTGATTATTTCGGGAGTATTTGTTATATTTTTCGTCGAAAATCCCCCTGTAGGGGGACGCGCCCGACATCAGGCTACGAGAAGAAACCGAGAGGAGCATCCTGAGGCCATCGGCATGAGGAGGTGGGCCGAGCGTGGTCCAACCCCGGGACCCCCGCCCCCCCCTCCCCCCCGGATGTCGGCCCTCCCAGGCCCCTCGGGCGCCCCTGCAGAGCGCTCCCTCGGCCTGCCGGGCCTCCCGGGCGTCCTGGCTGGGCTGCTGGGGCGGGCCCAAAGCGGTGAGAAGGGCGGCCAAACGACCCCGCGAAAGTCCCCAGCGGCCCAGGACGGCCGCAAGTCGCCCGACGACGACCCCGAAAAAATACAAAAACACAATATAGAAATGTGTGTATGTGTATATGTTTATGTGTGTATGTATATATATATATATATATACATACATACATACATATGCGCATATATACATGGATCCGCAGATGTGTGCACGAGAGTGTGTGTTGATGTGTGTAAACATATGTATAGACCGGTACATATACATATATATATACAAATACACATATGCATACATACATACATGCAGAAATGCATACATGCATACATACATACGTATATGCATACATACAAACATGCATAAATGCATATATGCATGCATGCATGTATGCATGCATGCACACGTACATACATAGGTACATACATACATGCATACATACATACATCTATAAAAACATACATGAATGTCTGCATGCATGCATACATACACACATACGGATGGAAATGTGCAAATATGTATGTACATAGTATGAATGGATATGTGTATGTGTGTACGTCTGTATGTATGTATGGGTGTGTGCATGTATGTTCGTATGTATGGATGTGTATATGGGTGCATGAGAGTGTGTCCGTATGTATACATGTACGTATGTATGGATTAACAAATGCATGTACGTATGTACGTATTATGTATGTGTGTATGAATGTACGTATGTGTATGTGTGTACGTGTGCATGTATGTGTGGACGCATGTGTGTATGTATGAACGGATGTATGGATGTTTGGACGTATGTGTGTATGGATGTATGTATGTATGTATGTGTGCATGGATGCATACATTCAAGCATATATAGGTATGTGTGTAAATACGAATATGTTTATACTTGTGTATGTATATATGTATATATATGTATGTATAGATGGTTGTATGCACGTATATGTTTTGCAAGTATATATGTTTGTGTGCATGTACGTGTGTATGCATGTATGCGTGTGTGCATGGATGTATGTGTGGATGTATAGATGTGTTTATGTGTTTGTGTATGTATGTATGTACGTATGTATCTATGTATGTATGTGTCCATAAATGCATGTGTGTAGATGTATGCTTGCAGGCAGGCATGCATGTATGTATGAGTGTGTTTATGTAGGTGTACGTATGTACGCATGTACGCATGAATACATGTATGCATGTATGAATGCATGCATGCATGTGTATGTATGTATGTATGTATGTATGTATGTATGGAAAGATGGACGGATTGATAGATGGATGAACGTGCGTGTATGGATGGATAGATGGACGTGTGTATGGATGGTGGTATGTGTGCATGTATGTATGGACGGATGGATGGATAGATGGATGGATTGATGGATGGATGGATATGTGTGTATGTCTGTCTGACTACCTGCCTGGCTGCATGTACATATGTATGGATTATGGATGGATGGATGGATGGATGGATGTGTATATGTGTGTATGAATGTATGTACGTATGTCTATAGTAATGAAATTGTCTCGTGTGTTTGGAATAGTCGGTTCTGTGGTCTTCCGAGCGGCCGAAACCCACCGAGAGGCCCCAAAAATCGCTTCAAAGCTGGACCACCAATCTTCACGACAAGCGAAGATAGCCCCGAGACGGCCCAACAAGGCCCCAAGACGGCCCAGCTCGAAGAGAGCTCCATAACGGCCCAAGATGGCCCCAATACGACCCGCAAAGCACTACAAGTTGTGACCCAGTCGTTGAGGGAGGTCATGTTTGGCAGGGAGGTGGCCCCAAGAAGCCCCTACAGGCCCCCAATAGGCACCACGGGGACCTCCGTGAGCCCTCTAAAGGCCCCAAAGAACCCACCAAGAAGCTTTCGTGAGGCCTTAGAGAGACCCTCCGAGGAGGAGCCCACGCAACAAAACAAATCAACAAGGAGATCGGGAGAAGCTTCGCATGGGAAGTGCGAGAACGAGAAAAAGAGAAAGAGCATGTCCGGAAAGGGAAGCCGAAGAACAGGACGAGAACGACGAGAACGAGAACTGGAGCACGAAAATCCGATTTCTCTCTCTCTCTCTCTCTCCCTCTCTCTCTTTCTCTCTCTCTCTCTCTCTCCATCTTTCTCACTATCTCTCATTCCGCCTGCATGCGAAACTTAAAGGACCAAAATGCATGGCGCGAAGCGCCGGCGCAGGCATACATATATATATATATATATATATATATATACATGCATACATACATACATACATACAGACAGACAGACAGACAGACATATGTATATGTGCGTATTAGAACCAGCGCGCGCGCTTCGCGCGCGCTCAGGTTCTACTTCAGGTCACCGCTCAGGTGCGATGCCCGCGACGATTCTTACCACGAAGATGGCGGCGTGCACTCCGCTCATGTTCGGACGCCATGTTCCGGAGGAGCGTTCCAGGAGCATGGGGCGCCAGACCTCCCGGACTATCCTGCCGAGGAACTCTTGGGTTGCGTAGGGCCGGTCTTGCGGGCTCCCTGGGGCTCTCTGGGCCCGCCTAGGGCTGTTTGGGAGCGGACCTGGAGGCGCGCTGGGCCCTAGTGGAGCGTCGGAAAGCCGAAAAGACAAGAAGGCCAAGATCCTCCAACTCCTACATAACATGAACGATGTTGGCCTGTTGGGACCCTCTTGGGGGTGCTCCTGAAGGCGTCTTGAGCCATGTTTGAAGCCTCTTGGGAACTACCTGGGGCCTCCTGGGGCTCTCTTGAGGCGGAAGCCCTGGATTTTCCGGACGCGGTCCGTCTCTTGGACACCCCTCGGGCCTGTTTTGGGGCACTCGTGGGCTGCCCTGGGCGCTTCTTGGGCCAGCCTTGGGCTCTCTGGGACCGCCTCGGGGCGGCCTTGGGCGCTTCTGGAGCTGCTTGGGGGCGGTCTCGGAGGCCTCCTGGGCTGCCTAAGAGCGTCGGACAGCCACAAAGATCTGAAGGCCAAAACCCTTCCAAAACTAGTGTAAAACCATCAATGTTTGGCCTGCTGGGGCCCTCGTGGGAGTGCTCTTGGAAGCGTTTGGAGCCATGTTGACTCTTGGGAGCTGCCTGGGACCTCCGGGGTCACTGTTGAGGCGGGAGCCCTGGGTGTTCGGTACGCGGTCCCTTTCTTGGGCCCTTCTTGGGCTTGTTTTGGAGCCTTCTTGGGCTGTTGTGGGCGCTTCTTGGGCCAGCCTTGGGCTCTCCGGGGCCGCCTTGGGCTTGACTTGGGGGCCTCTGGGGCTGCTTGGGGGCGGACCTGGAGACCTCCTGGGCCGTCTTGGAGCGTCGTACAACCGAAAAAAACAGAAGGCCAAAATCCTTCCAAAACCGTCGGAAAACCATCAATTTGGGCCTCCCGGGGGTCTCTTGGGAGTGCTCCTGGAAGCGTCTGGAGCCATGTTGGAGGCCTCCCGAAACCTCTACCACGTGCTTCGGCGACATGGGTCGAAGGTGGGAACCATTCCTGGTGCAGAAACATCACCAAGGTCCGTCCAGAGCCGTTCGGGAAACGCCCCAGAGCGGCTCTGGAGAGGCCCCGGGGGGGGTCCCCCCATGGCGAGTCGAGGCAGCTGGCCAGAGGCCCCCAGCAGTGGCGTTTCGCGCCATGCACCTTGGTCCTTGAAGTTTGGCATGCAGACGGATGAGCAGGAAGGTCAAGCCGACAATTTAGCGATACTTCTTGATGCCTTTTCTGGCATCGCCGCTATAATAATGTTATTCGTGATCCTTCCTCCATGCTTCGTTTTTCTCATTTTCGCCATACCCTGCGCATTCTCCCCATTCTCCTCAGCTCTTTTTTGCGGAGGCTCCTCCCTGGAGAGCCTCTGGGGGCCTCACAAAAGTTGTTTCAGGCTTTCTTGAGGCCTTCTGGAGGCCTCCTGGGCGTATTCTGGGGGCCTCCGGGGGCTTCCTCGGGCCACCCTGCCTCCAACCGCGCTCCCTGAACGACCGGGTCACGATTTGGAATGCTTTGGAGGGTGTCTTGGGGCCATCTTGGGCCGCCATGGGGCTCTCTGAGGGCCATCTTGTGCCCGTGTTGTGCCGTTTTGGGGCTCTCTTGGACTGCCTGCAAGCCCTTTCGGATGGTTGTGGGGCGATTCTGGAGCCTCCCAGGCGGCTTCGGACGCCCAGAAGACCGCCGTCTTGGAGCGTCGGGAAGCCGAAAAGAGGAGAACCCCAAAATTCACCAAAAACCAACAGAAAATTACCCCAGTGCGACCCTACCTAGAAGTTGGAGCCCCTAGGAAAGCAGCATTAGTTGCTATGCTATGCTATGCTATGCTATGCTATGCCATGCCATGCCATGCCATGCCATGCCATGCTATGCTGCGCTATGCTATGTTATGCTATGCTATGATATGTTATGTTATGCTATGCTATGCTATGCTATGCTATGACATGATATGATATGATATGCTATGCTATGCTATGCTATGCTATGCTATGCTATGCTATGATATGCTATGCTATGCTATGATATGCTGCGCTATGCTATGATCTGATATGGTATGATATGCTATGACATGCTGCGCTGTGCTATGCTATGCTATGCTGCGCTATGCTATGCTATGCTATGCTGGGCTATGATATGATATGATGTACTGCGCTATGCTATGCTACGCTATGCTATGTTATGCTGTGCTCTGCTATGCTAAAGCTCGGCGAAGCTAAGATGAAGGTAAGCTAAGCTAAGATAAACCTGAGCTAAGATGAAACTAAGCTAAGCTAAGATGACATAAGCTAAGCTAAGATAAGATAAGCAACGCTAAGCTAAGGGGACGTCACTGGGGGAACCGCGGGGCGGATGCCGGGGGAACCGCCCGGGGCGGGGTCTACTGCCCGGCCCCGTAAGCACACACGGTAAGAACCCTCTAGGCAGAGCCTAGGTAGGGAATCAATGATTTGTGCCTCTTGGGGCCTTCTTGTGAGTGCTCTTGGAGGCCTCTTTGGGGCCGTCCTGAAGGCCTCTTGGGCCATCTTGAGGTCACGTCGGTCGCTCTTGGAGCGCTCTTGTGCTGTCTTGGGGGTCTCTGGGACGTCTCCGATGACCCCCCTGATCGCCCTAGGTGTGCTGGGAAGGCTTGGCAGAACGCCCTGCGAGGCCCGGGGGGCCGCTTCGAGGCCCGTCTGGAGGGTCCCAGATCCAGGGAGTCCGGTTTTGGGGGGGGGGGGCCCGCCCAGGCTCGCAAAAATATAGGAAGAGGAATATATGTATACATATATATATATATAAGCATACCGATATATGTATGTGCATATGTAAATATACATGCATATATGCATGCATGAATGCATGTGTGTGTACGTATGAGTGTGTGTATATGTATGTATATATACGTATGCATGTATGTATGCATACATGTATGTATGTGTATGTGTATGTTTGTATGTATGTGTATATGTAGGTATGTATGTATGTATGTATGTATGTATGTATGTATGTATGTGTGTATGTATGTATGTATGTATGTATGTATGTATGTATGTATGTATGTATGTATGTATGTATGTATGTATGTATGTATGTGTGTATGTTTGTGTTTGTATGTATGTATGTATGTTTGTGTGTATGTATGTATGTATGTGTGTATGTATGTATGCATGCATGTATGTATGTATGTATGTATGCATGTGTGTATGTATGTATGTATGGATGTATGTATGCATGTGTGTATGAATGTATGTATGTATGTACGTACGTACGTACGTACGTATGTATGTACGTATGTATGTATGTGTGTACGTGTGTATGTATGTATGTATGTATGTATGTATGTATGTATGTATGTATGTACGTGTGTATGTATGTATGTATGTATGTATCGATGGATGGATGGATGGATGGATGGATGGATGGATGGATGGATGGATGGATGGATGTATGCATGTGTTTGAATGTATGTGTGTGCATGTATGTATGTATGTATGTATGCATGCATATGTGTATGTATGTATGTATGTATGCATGCATGTATGTATGTATGTATGTATGTATGCATGCATGTATGTATGTATGTATGTATGTATGTATGTAGGTATGTATGTATATATGGATGGATGCATGCATGGATGCATGGATGGATGTATGCATGTAGCTATGTATGTCTGTCTGTCTGTCTGTCTGCCTGTATGTCTGTCTGTCATTATGAATGTATGTATGTATGTATGTCTGTATGTATGTATCCAGGTATGCCGATATAAACCTCCCAAAAACTTACACAGGAGGCCACCTCTTGTCGATGAGCGTGCCTCCGCAGAACGACTCGGCCCAGCCGGCAGACTTGAGGCCCACCTCGGGGGCAGCCCAAGCCCCTCGCTCCTCGAGCCGACCCCTTCCGCCCACCCCCTCGGGGGGAAAACAAAAAAAGAGTATGAGCACGATGTCTCGGAGGTTCGCGTGGGTCCTCGCCCCCCTCACCACCCTTCGGTCCAACCAGGAGCAGGATCCCCTCTTCTCGCCCCCTCTCCTCGCCCCCCCCGGGCAGAGAGGAATCTCTGGGAACAAGTTCCATTTTCCCTCCCTCCTCCCCCCCTCCCTCCTCCCCACAAGGAAACGACGGCATAACGGGAAACTTGCAGAGGTCCGCATGGATGTCTCGGATCGGCGCTCCGCTCGGTCATCCCCCCTCCCTCCGCCGCATCCTCCACCCGAAGACAGAGAAACGACGGCACAATCGTAAACTTGTGGAGGCCCGCGAAGATGTCTTTGATCGGCGCTGGGCCCCCCCCTGCCGGCAGCTCTGGTGCGCCCCCGGCGCGCTCCGCGCGCGCCGATCCAAGAAACCACCGCGGACCTCCAAAAGCTTGCCTTTGGCTGAAGTCGAGGCGTTGACCAAAGGAACCCCAAATAAGGAACGAGGCCCCTATGTTCCATAAGTTAAACTTCGATTTCGCATCGAAAACCTAAGGAAAATCCAAGGCAAACTGCGAAACAATTAAGGAACACGGAGCCCCTCCCCAACGAAAAGGGTTCCTTCTTCAGGGACGCGACTGTAATTGCGTATTCTTCGACCTCTGAACCCCCCCTCGATGCATCTGCCCACGTTGACGGCGTCCTCGGATGACCCTGCCGCCGTGAGTTCTTTCACGTGGACTCCTGAAAGTCTCGACCACTTCCCCTGGCCCAGCTTTTTGTCTCACCTGACTTCTTGACAGCCCCAGGGCTTGGCAGAGGCCCCTGGAGGACAAAAACGGCCTAGCACATGCCAGCGCATTTTGGTGCACGACTAGGTGGCGACATCCAAACCCCACCCCCACCAACCATAATCGTTGATCGGTGAGGGTAGGGCTCGGCTTCCGCCGCCGAACGACGCCAAGCGCAGCCCGAGCAAGAAAGGACTGCCCTCAATTTCGAGCGAGGCCAGGGGTAATACGAAGCCAAGACGAAAATAAAATTGGTTGATGAAAAATCGAGAATCTCTGAGGTCTGGCGGCTCTGGAGGATGTCTCGGGCGCCGCGGCCTCCTCCCTCCTCAGAGCGTTCCGGAACGCGCTGAGAGCGTTCCAGAACGCTCTGGAACGGATGCGTCCTCGTCCTAGCCCCGCCCGAGGAGGAGGAGGAGGAGGAGGAGGAGGAGGAGGGGAGGAGGAGGAGGAGGAGGAGGAGGGGGAGGAGGAGGAGGAGGGGGAGGAGGAACCCGCACAACCTGCTGCTGCCGGCGACCCTGGCTGCGACGGAAGCGCCAAAGCTCACGTGCTCGGGCAGCCGTTGGCCCTTCCTCGGCGGAGCCGCGGCCGAGGGCCTCGGCGACGACCCGGCGGCGGCCAGCCTCAGCCCGACGGCCGCCGGCACGTGGCGGCCTACTTGACGGCGCTCTAGAACCTGCGCAAGCACGGCCTGAGAGCGCAGGACGAGCTGACTCTCCTCCGCACGTTTGCGAAGGGAACTGCCCTGCACCACGCGCGAGCACGCTTGCTCGGCGAAGCCCGGTGCGCCGACTACGACGGCCGGGTCTTGGGGCGCCAGGAGGGCGTGCTGGAGCAGCCCCCGCGGCGGCGCGCGAGCAGGCCTGCCTCCCCCTGGCAGACGGGCGGCTGGGCACGCACAGCCTCGGGGAGCGGCGCCCGCCCGCCGTCGGGGGCTCCTGGCTGGCCTGCCTCCCGAGGTGCGCCGCGGGCTCGGCCTGCCGAGCCTCGAGGCTCTCGCCGCGGCCTGCCCCCGGACCTGGCCCACGGTGGCAGAGGCGGGGCGCCTCGGCGGGCGCAGGCGGCGAGGCCCGGCTGCGCGCAGCCACGGAGCGCGAGGAGAGAGCGCAACGGCGCCTCGCGAGGCCGGCGCGGGAGCGGCGACGCGCTCCGCGGCTCGCCTCCCTGCCGCCGCCGGAGCAGGCGAGCCTCCGCTCGGCCCGCGGGAAGGGCGCCGGGAGCTGGCTGCTCCCGCCCACGGAGCCGGACCACGTCCTCGCGGCACTTCCACCTGGCGCTGGCCACGCGGCTCCGCTTGCCCCTGCCGCCGGAGGCCAGCGCAACTTGCCTCCGGCGCCGCCCCGACGCCTCTTGCTGCGGGGCCGACCTGCGCGCAGACCCTGGGCATCCTCTGGGTTGCCCAATCGGGGGCGGCACGATGTTGAAGCACGACGGCGTGCGGGACTGGCTCGCGCGCTGGCTGGCAGCGCGGGGCGCCGCGGGCGCGAGGACGGAGCAGTCGTCCCCGCTTGGGACAGGCCGCGCCCAGACTGCTCCCTCGAGGCCGCGCGTCTGGACGTGGCCTTCACCGACCCAGTCGCTGGGGTCGCCTACGCCGACGTGGTGATCGCCAACGCGTCCTTGGGCGCGGGCACAGCCGCCGGGCGGAGCCGCGCCGCGCGCGACGGGGCCGCGGCGGCAGCGGCGGAGACCCACAAGCACCGGCGCTACCGGGGCCCTGCCCTGGTCGCCATTGCCGTGGAAACGCTGGGGCGCGCCGGGAAGGAGGCGCAGGCGCTGCTGAGGAGCTGGGCGGCAGGCGACCCGGCGACGCTGACGGCGGCGCGGCAGAGCCTGGCCGCCGCGCTGCGGCGCGGCAACGCGGAGGCCTACCGCACGGCCACCCTGCCCGCTTGCGCGGCGCGGTGACTGGCGGGCCCCGGCGGCCCTGGCCTGCCCGAGCGACGCGCCAGACTGAGCGCTGAGGCCTTGGCCGAGGCCTCAGCACGCGCCCAGCGCGGCCGGCGGGCGGGGCCAGCGCGCCTGCTGGGCGGCGGGCGCCGCGCGGCTGCCGGGCGAGGCCGCCGTGGGCTACCCGTTCCTCACAGGCCCTGGCCGGTCGCGCCTCCCTCCCGGGAGTGGCCGCTGTCTGAGACATAGCCGGCCCCTGGGGGGGCCGCGCCCTCTGAGAAGGAAGGCGGAGGGAGGTGTCGACCGGCTCCCGACCACTGTGCTCCGGGCGGCGTGGGAGAACACGCGTCCGCCGCCAGGAGGAACAGGAGGAGGAGGAGGAGGAGGAGGAGGAGGAGGAGGAGGAGGAGGAGGAGGGAGGAGGAGGAGGAGGAAAGGGAGGAGGAGAGGGAGGGGGAGGGGGAGGGGAGGAGGACGGAGGAGGAGGAGGAGCAGGAGGGGAGGAGGAGGAGGAGGAGGAGGAGGAGGAGGAGGAGGAGGAGGAGGAGGAGGAGGAGGAGGCGGAGGACGAGGAGGAGGAGGAGGAGGAGGAGCAGGAGGAGGAGCAGGAGACGCGCGTGATCGCCGGGTGCTTTTCCGAACGGGCTCCAAGGGCGCAGAAGAAAGATCCTGGTGGACGAATCTGGGCAACCACACGTGAGGCCTGCCCCTGCAGATCAGACCTCTGGAACGCAGGCTGGGGTTCAGAATTCGAAAGATGTCTGCGGTCAGGTGAACCCCAGCGGGGGTGTCCGATTCCCAAGCGTCGATTGGACCCGCAAGGGTAGGGTTCGGACGTGCTCGCAGATTGAATCCTCCAAGGCACGCTGAATCCGCTGTGGGGTACGACCCACGTGAGGGGAGTGCCAAATGGGGCGGAGCCCCCCACGCGAACGCGCGCGCCCACTGACGCCACAGGTGGAGCTCCCTGTAGGGTACGATCCGCCTGAGGGGTGTAACAGCATGAGCGGCGGGGCACCATGCGAAGTTGTCCCCTGGTGCCGTAGGTGGAGCTCCCTTCGGGGCGCGACCGCGATCCGTGCAAGGCGTGTGCCGAAATGGGCGGAAGACCGCAGGCGAACTGTGTCTCTAGGGCCGCAGGTGGAGTTCCTGGTGGGCCAGGAGCCGTGTGCTGGGTGTGCCGAGATGGCCGGGGGGCGACACGCGAAACCTGTCTCTGGGTGGAGCTCCATGAGATGGACCGAGTGAAAGGTGTGCCGAACTGGGCGTGGGGCGGCATGCGAACTGTGTCTCGGCGGCCGTCGACAAAGCTGCTTGTGGGCAGGGGGCAACAGGCCCGAGGAAGATAGAGGAGCAGCAGCAGCAGGAGCAGGAAGCGCAGGAGAGGGAGGGCGGGAGGAGAGGGAGCAGAGAGGAGGAGAGCGGACGACGACGACGACGACGACGACGACGACGACGACGACGACAGCTTTGGCGGCGCCGACTACGACGACGACGACGACGACGACAGCTTTGGCGGCGACGACGGCGACGACGACGACGACGACGACGACGACGACGGCGGCGGCGGCGGCAACGACGACGACGACGACGAGCTCCGCACTGGAAAGGCGTCGGCGCGGGCGTCGGCGGCGCGGGCGTGGGCACGGACGTCGGCGGTGCTGGCGTGGGCGGCGCGCTCGGCTGCGTCTGGTACTGGAACTGCGGGCACAGGCGCCAGCCTGGTGGGGCGGCCCACTTAAGGCCTCCCAGATGGGGTTTCAGTGGAGCCGAAGACATGATAGAGAAAATACCTCAGACAGTGCTTGCACTCAGGGGTTCTGTCCCTTTTTCTCAGGAACTGGCCCCGATTCTCGGTCTGGCGGCTCCGTGCTCGCCGTCGCCGCCCCGTCGCCGGCCATCTTCTGGGCCTGATTGTCGGTCTGGCGGCTCATTGCTCGCCGTCGCCGCCCCGTCGCCGCCACGTCGCCGCCCGTCGTTTGGGCCTGGTTGCCGGTCTGGCGGCTACGTTGTCGCCGTCGCCGCCCCATCGCCGCCTCGTCGCGGCTTTGCATTATTTGTGCATTGCTTCGCATTGCTTTGCATTAGTTTGCATTGTGTTGCATTGTTTTGTGTTGTTTTGCGTTCCTTTGCGTTGCTGCGCATGGTTTTGCATTGTTTCGCGTTGCTTTGCGTTGCTGCGCATTGCTTTGCATTGCGTTGTGCTGCTTTACCTTGCTTGGCCTTGTTTTGCATTGTAGTGTATTGAATTGCTTGACTGGGCATTGGTTCTCCTTACATGTATTTTGCAAAACCGATGTTGCATGTACAACTCATCAAATGCACAGCACAGGTTGCACCACATGGACTGCTTCATATAGGCACCTCCACATAGATGGCACCGCATAATTGTCCTTTTCTACAACAATATCAAGATCTACCCCCCCAATCCCCTCCACCACCCCGGGGTTAGCGGCCTATTTTTTCGTATTGCAATTCAAATATGACTCTGGCCCATCGTCCATCCGATTTTTTTTTCTTTCAGCGAACACTCAGCAGCTTTTTTCCCACAGCGACACAGCACCGAATCCGCTTCCCCTCATGGGGGGGCTATGAGCGCACCCCAATATGAGCTGCTGCCATCCCCTGGCACTGCGCACGGACACGGCCTCGTACCGCACAGAAGCTGATTAGCGGCAAGGCTCGAAAATGGCGGGCCGGATAAACGTCACCACGAACCTGGAGGAGGAGGAGGAGAAGGAGGAGGCAAGAGGGAGGAGCGGTCAACGTGGTTTTCAAAATCGGCTGCATTGCGCAGCAACTGGTGGACAAATACCGGCATAGAGGTGAAACGGCGCAGGAGGAGGGGGGTGAGGAGCCTAGGGAATCAAGCCCAAAACAAAGAGCACGCTCAAGCCAACCTGCAATAGGTGAGCCGACGCATGCACTCGCACCCTGGGACTAAATCGAACACTGCAGATCTATGCACCCCTGGCGGCCCAAATGGCCACGTCGATAAATCCACAACGGAGCAAGAGAGGAGCCCGGGGGAGGGGAGGCGAGGAGAAAAGACGCGCTCAAGGCAGCACTTCCCGAAACAAATAGACGAGCTGGGCTCAGCCTGAAGATTTTCAATATCATGCAAAGTCGCCCGATCGGCATGCATCTTGGGCATGCGGCTGGCAAGGAGCAGCGGGGCCAGAAGCGCCGCCGAGACTGCGGGCCGCGTGCGGAAGACCAGCCACGGGCAATTCAGGGGGAAGGAGGGGGCGAAAGCGGGGAACGAGGCGCGACTTCAGAATCGAAAGAGGGCTGGCAGGCAAGGGAAAAGGTGGAGGGCGCGGGATTCCCGCCGTCACGGTCCCGCAGCCCTCCGCACAGGCCGAGAACCACTCAGGCACCAGCGGTGATGGCCAACAGCACGACGGCACCAGCCGCTGCCAGCCACCCTAGCTGGCGCCTTAGCGGACCTCGCGACCCACGACAGCAGCTTCGATGCGCCAAGCATTTTCGGCTGGGCCTCGGCAGTCCGCCAGCCAGCCCCTCCAAACAGGGTATGTGAAGCACGATCGAGCACAGCAGAGCCTTCTGACCCGGCACCGGCGTGTGAGCGTGAGGTGAGGAATAAAACAGAAACCATTTATCCCATGGAGTGGGATAGAAGGCGTTGCGCACTGCAACCGGTTCTGTTACCGAGCACTGGAAAAGAAGAAATCACCTCTACACCCGATCACCTCGTGCATCGCTCCGGCCATGTCTATTCAGCCTTACGTTGCACAGCAGAGGGGTGAGCACAGCATCACGAGCAGGGGCCTCGGCCACGCGGCCGGGACACAGGCCGCCCGACGTCCGCACAACAGAACACATGTCAAAGGACTGGTGCGGTGCCTCATTGGGAGGTTCCGTGGCAAAGTATCGCCAGATAGGCCGGTACACCGTCAGAGGATGGAGCGGGAAGAAGGGGGGAGGGGAGGGGAAAGCGGGGGAGGGAGAGGGAGAGTGCCATCACACGCGCAAGCTGTGGTTAATAAATCCTCTGGTGCGCTCGTTGCGCACCTGCGCGCGCACGTGCCCTCATGGCTACAAGCCGAACTCCTCGTCCGCCCAGACGCTGTCCACCGCGCGGAGAGCCCCAGCGTGCCCCTGAGCCGCCTCTCTCACCGCCTGATCAAGCGCGCGACGTAGAACTTCGTGGTCGGAGAAAGCCGGCTGACGGCGGCACCGGCAATGCAGCCGATAGGCCGCAGCGAGCAACAGGGCCCGCCGGGCGAGGATCACGTCCGGGAGCTCGTGGGCGCCCGCGAGGAGAAAAAACCTCAGGCCGCGCTCCTCGAAGGTTGGCGCAGCGCGGAGCCGGAGTCGAAGCTGGCCATGGCGGTGTAGCATGAGGCAGCCCATGTAGTGGTCGACAGAATCCTGCCCCATGGAACAGCCGAACAGACAACGCCCATGGGCTTGGAAACGGCGGGCCGTGCACCAGCCATTGAACCACGTGCGAAGCACTGCGGCGACCACGCGAGGCGGCGCCAGCCGGGCCAGACGCTGCAACACTGTAGACCCGCGGATGGCTCGAAGCCGCGGATAGATCGGCAGCCGCCACCTGGCCAACTTCGCTCTGAGTCTCGTCTCGGGGTGGCTGCGCAACGCGCGGCACCACGCTGCCCGAGCCGCTCGCTGCACGCCGTGGGCGAGGCGACGGGCTTGCCCGCGAGTGCGGGGGAGCGGGGCGTCAGCTCCCAAGTCGGCCTCCACAGTCTGGATGGCGATGCCTACGCGTTGGAACGTGGACACTGCCGCAGACAAGTTGCGGACGTAGGCACCTTGAAACCAGGAGCACCACCGGACATAGCGCCAGAAGAAATCCGTGTCGGCGATCGACCTGTCAAGGCGGCGAACCGCCGATGCCACGGCCAAGCCGCCAGAAGCTGCAGCCTCCCGGTGAGCGACGCGAAAACGAGCGGCCAGCGAAACCTCGTTCATGTCCGCAAACTCTTGAGGCATGCCGTAATGCCGCCGTAGAGCTCGCAGGTCAGCGGGGAGAACCCAGCGGGCAGGACCAGGGACCAATCGACGGAGGGCTGCTGCCTCAGCGCGCTCCCAATCCTCCGGAAGGACCTCGAGCTGCAGGAGGAAGGTAAGGAGCGAGGCCACGTACACGTTGTACGCCACGGTGGTGTAATGCAGGCCAAGCCCAAGCTGCGCCCACAGGTCGGCGCGGCTGGTATACTTGTCTAGCGCCTTCTGCCAGCACCGTGAGCGCCCGCCAGGCCCCAGTACATAGCCCAGGTACTCTGCCCAATCCCTGACGCACGCGGCCCCCCACCCCGGGAATCGCCCCTCAAGCTGGCGCCGAAAGTTGTCCACCGAAGTGTCACCCAGGGGGGCGAAGACGGTCTTCCCCAAGTTAAGCGACAGACCAGAGATGACGGCGAAGTCGGAAAACAAAGGGACAAAGCAGCGCGCCGACAGGAAGACGTCCCGCGAAACCAAGGCCAAGTCGTCCGCGCACGCCCTCAGCGTATCGCCCGGCAGCGAGCCCTGCAAGCGGCGGAGCAGTAGGTCGCCGCAGAGGGCGAATAGCACAGGTGACAATGGGCACCCTTGGCGGATCCCAGATCGGATGCTGAAGCCCTCGTGCAGCTCCCCGCCGGCGGAGATTTTGCAGCCGTTGCCGAAGTACAAATTGGACACGAAGAGCCGGAACGGCAGCGGGAGCTCCAGGAACTCCAGCACGTCTTCCATGAAGTCGTGCGCCAACGACGGGAACGCCGCCGCGAAGTCGAAGAAGACCGCGCCCGGCTGCTCGGCCTGTAAGCTGGCCGCCCTCATGTCGCTGTCAATTTCGACGACGTTCTGCAGCATGGACCTGCCGGGCAAGAAGCCCCGTTGAGCCGGCGATATGATCTTCTCGAGCAGCGGTTCCGCCCGCAAGCGATAAGCATTAGCCATCAATCTGTTGTCCGTGTTCACCAGGGAAAGTGGGCGGACCTCTCCAGGAAGATGGTATCGGATACCGTTGGCCTCGTGTGCCGTCTTTTTCGGGATAAAGACCATGCTGGCCGAGTTGAACGCCGTGTCGCCGCTGGCATCCAGCGGGAACGCCTCCAACAGGGAGTCGCGGCCATGCTCCTCGGAAAGCTCGACGGCCGCATCGAACAGAGTGTCGACCGCTAGGGCCCCAAGGCGCCGCCATGCCAGATACGGCACTCCATCCGGACCAGGTGCAGAGGAGGTTGTCAACGACACTGCACGTCGAATGTCTGATCGGCGGAGTTGCCAGGCAGACGTGTCGCCGAGCATCTGGCGAGCAGCAGCGCGAAGGCCATTTGCGCGACCGGCATCCTCGCAGAACCACTCCCGCCGGCGAGTGCGATCCAAGGCACGAGCGGAAAATGTATCCCTCCAGTGCTCCTTGAGGGCCGCGGCCATACCGGGGCCGTCTGTGCGGAGGGCGCCGTCTGCACCTGCCACCGCCGACAGCGACGTCGAACGCCCAGGCGCAATGCGTTTGAGCTGCAGCAACACCTGGGATCGACGCTGCCGCAGGACGTTGTCGGGGAGACCGTGCGCCTCATCGTGGAGGCGTTGCAGAGAAGACTGAACATCCGCCCTCGCAAGGCCAACGGCGTGTTCTCGAAGGCGAGACAGACACCGATGAGGAGCATGCTGAAGAAGATCATCTGAGAGAAAATCACGAAGCACAGGATACCTGGCACGAAGCGCGGGCACATCTGCAAGGCCG